TCCTTTGTCCAGTGGACCCACACCAGGGACAGAACCATTCCTTTGTCCAGTGGACCCACACCGTATCTGCTACCCACCCGTTAGTCACTGAGTAGCGGACTTTATCAGATTGACGCATCGAGGTGCTTGTGTTCTGGTAACCCTGACTCAGTAGCCTCTCTGTCCACACCACTGGCCTCACCTCATCTCATTTATAAGCATCCTAAYGTCTCTCCCCACCACAAAAGGGGAGAGCACCGTAGGAGACATTTTGAGAAGAGAGACCACATTCACCCAAATTTTATTATGGCTTATGGTTATGATTATTTTCTTTACTATTCATCATTACTGCTGCTCCCTTACTGTGTCTGGTTCATAAATTAAACATTTTTATAAGTAAGTGTGTATGGGGRAAGAATAGTGGACCTACAGATTGGTATGTCTTGGGAACACACCCCCACAGGTACGGGGGGGTACCACATCATCAACCCCATTTTACAGATGGGAAAACTGAAGACGAGCAATCACCCAGTCCCTGCGGGTTTGCAGCGCGTGGTCCTCGTCACTGGCTCCTCGTGCCCTGTCTGCTGCTTAGGTTGACGGTGCTCTGTGCTCCACGGGATTTTTAGATCCTTAATTCAGTGAGTCTTGATCCTACACACAGGCCCAACCCGTGTCCCTTTCCTTGGTGCCTGTTCTTTTACCTGCCACGGGGGGGGGGGGGGCAGTGGCCAACGGTGGGGATTCTGGAATCCGGTGCCCAGGTGTGCATCCCAGCTTRGCCCCTCCTGGGAGTGCATCTGCAAGCCTTCCTGGGCCTGGGGTCTGCATGTGCAGAGGGACTTGGGTGAACCTGAACATGCCCATGGACTGGTGTGGGAGACTGAGCGAGTCGTTGCTGGCCAGGTGATTGGTCAGTGCGTGGCCCACAGTTCTCTGTGCACTGCTGTGTCTAAAGCAGCAACAAACCCACATTTTTTCCAAGAACAGAATGTGGTAGGGGAATTCTAATCTGCCCCTGGGTRGCCGGCTGTGCGATTGGCTTTGCTTAGGGTCAGGAGACCCAGGCTGCAGAGKTGGCCCCGCCTGACTGGCCGAGTGCCCGTGGCCAGGTCACTGGCTCTCTCTGAGCGCCGGCTCACGTCTGTGCAGCAGGTTTAGCTTCTCCCGAGACTCCTCCCAGCATCCACAGAAGCCCTGGCCCCGAAGCCATGGCTGAACCCGGGGGCCATTCTTTTCTTTATAATCAGTGGGTTTAAGATCCACGCGTCAGAGAGGCACCGCCTGCGCTTGGCCGCGGGCCCCCGTGGGAAGCCGGGAGTGGTTAATAACCGCTCAGATGCAGCCGCGGCGTCATTCCTATTTTCACTTCGTGGCTGATGAGGGGCCGGGGCTGTCATTGGTGGTGGGGTCCTGCCGGAAGCGTATCAAGGGGCCCTTGGGAGCTCTGTGCTAACAAAGGGGACAGGATGCTGTGCTCTCCGAGGCCAYGGCCTTCTCTGGGCCTAAGCTGGGGCCAGTGCTGCTCGGCCCTTCCTGAGGCGACCTGGGAGAGCCCCTTCCTGTGAGTGGTGTGGGGCGGCTCGGGTGGGCTGGGCTGAGCCGGGCAGATTTGTGCTGGTGACAGCCCAGGGTGGTGGCCAGCGGAGACTGCAGGAGGCCGGGAGGAGGCCCTGACCACTGAGGTTGGAGCACTGTGTCTGGGAGCCCGGCCTGGAGAGTCTCCCTCACCAGTCTCAGAAGGAGTCCAGCCTGTGGACATCTTGGATTTGGACTCATGGCCTCCTGGACTGTGAGGCAAAGAAGTCTCTGTTGTTTCAGGGCACTGGTTTGTGGTATTTTGTTATAGCAGCTGTAGGAAGCTGATACAGACTGACCCCAGAAAACACACTTCAGCCCCAAAGGAGGACGCCTACCTCTCCTCTCCRCTCCGAGGAGGGTGGGCAGATGGGCTGGGAGGGTGGCACATGCATTCGCCTGCACGGCTCTGTTTGGGCCAGTGCTTCTCAAACTTCAATGCCGATGCTGTCACCCGGCCTGGATGCAGACCTGGCTCCCTGGGGTTGCCGCACTGTGGCCTGGACCAGGCACTGGTCCGCACAGGTTTGGAGCCAGATGTGTCTCCAAATACGCAGGAGCCGTGGAACACCAGGYGCCCTTCAGGAGGTGGGACAGGCCAGACCTGGTGCAGGCGCCACCCCGTCTCCCACTGCTGATCCCTGGCAGGAAGGGAAGGGCTTGGGTYCCTTGTCCTGCTGGAGTTGGTRAGGGGAGCTGGCTGAACTTCAGGATTGGCCAGGGCGTTCTGCTGATTGACAGGCGTTGGTCAGGAGATCCTGCTGATTGACAGGTGTTTCCGTGGGTGCCTGATGGATGTTCCTTTCCCGGGCAGGCTGCTTTGTTCTAAGTCACCACCACCGACCTGTCAGGTAGCATGTCTGTGTTCAAGGGCTGCGGGGGGGAGAGACGGTGTTCCCAGGACTCGGGAATCCACACAAAGCCTGCAGCGTCCGCTGCCTCTGGGGAGCAGAACCGGGCGGTGGAGGAGATATCYCCTTTTTCTGATCTCTTCTTTCAGGCTTTGGAGACTGTGCCCGTTTGTGGGCCAGGAGGGAGATGCCCTGTTCGGGGCCATGGGTGTAGGGGCTAGTTTGGAGGCCACGGAGTGCAGAGGGCCAGGGGCCAGGAGGCTCCTAAAAACAGACCTTGTGGGTGGGGGCGGGGGCTGGGGTTGTGGCTCGGTGGTGGGGGGCTCACCTAGCCACGGGAGGCACTGGGTTCCATCCTCAGCACCACATAAAAATAAATAAAATTAAGGTATTGTGTCCAACTACAACTAAAAAAAAAAAAAAAACAATAAAAACAGGAACAACAACAAAGATGCCACCCAGGGCCTGTGGGTGGGAGGTCTGGGCACAGGTGTCTGGGTTTAACGAGCTCCCAGGGGCCTTGACTGAGCCAGGAGCCGGGCGAGGACCCTGAGGAGGACACTCGTCCGCCCTCCCCCAGTGGCAGGTGGGGCTCACCTGCCCACCTCCCTCAGGGCTGGRGGAGGGGAGCAGGGAGTGGGGCTGGGGCACCTGCAGCCCCATGCTGGGCCCCACCCCAGCTGCTCACAGCTCAGCTCTGGATAGGGACCCGTTCSTTCTCCTTCCCGGGGCCATACAGAGCACCGAAGCCCCGGCTTGGCTTTCCCGGAGCCTGCCCCCCTCAGCTCTGGGGCCAGCTCTGAGCAAAGCGTGGGCAGCTGGAGTCCCCCGAGGCCCCTGTCCTCGAGAGCAGATGGTCTTGCCTGGGACTCTCCGCGTCACCTCCCCTGTGTCTGATCTTTTATGAGGAGCCAGTCCTGCAGGGTAGGGGCCCACCCCCACTGCGGTGACCCTTTTCCCAGACAGCCTTGTCCCGAGGTGCTGGCTGGAGAGGACAGGATCTAGCCCAGAGACTGGGTACAAAGTTCTCTCCTGGAACGCCCCTGAGCACCCCCATGGGGTGCCGATGATGCGTGATTTGTGGTTACTAAGAATGTGTCTTTTCTTTTCTTTTCTTTCTTTCTTTTTAAGCTCCTGCATGCWGAGGCTGCAGGCCAGGCCCAGCTGCCCCCACACAGACTCCAAGAGCGAAGGGGCCTGGTGTCCAGGCTGCCCACGTGGCCTTGTCTTGTTGGTCTGCTTGTCCTCAGGTTCAAAACTTCAGGTCAAGACTTTTTAAACAGCCCTCCAGGTGAGCCCGGGTGGGGCTGGGGCTGAGCCCCGGGGGCGACCTGCTCTGGGGGTTGGGGGTTGGGTGCTGGGTTCTGTGGCGGCTCTCAAAGGCTCCGCCAGGAACAGTCACCCTGGGTGCGGCACCTTCTGGGGGCTGGGCTCTTTCTGCCACAGTCACTTCCTTCCTGTGTCCTCTGCATGAGAACTGGTAGGTATTGGCATTGAGGGTGGGATTGCAGGTCCCCTGCTTGGGGACAGGACAACTTGGGTTTTCTGAGCAGCACTTTTACCTTTGCTTTTGATCTGCAGGGGCCTCTCACCGTCTCCCCGGGGCCACTGTGAGTGTGTCTGTGCTGTGCTGCAGCCGGGCCTCGCCTCGCTGGTTCAATAAACCCTGCCAGGCCCCCCACCTGGCTGGGCCATGGACACCCCTCTCCATGTCCTGCGTGTGGACTACACAGGACACCTCTGGTCCCTCAACAAGGACACGGTCTCCTTCTTCTGTGTTCCTGACCTTTAGCACATAGTAGGTACTCAATAAATGCATTGAATGCACAGATGTTCGTGCTGTGACTTGAGAGGTCTGACTCTGAGGTGCCACGCTGGGGAGGCCAAGCAGCTGTCCACCCTGGCTGAGCAGGACCTGGACTCCTAAGCCAGAGCTCTCTGGGGGGAGACAGAAGCTCCCTGTGGGCGCCTCACCTTGCTGTTACTCACAGTTAAAGGAAAAGATATGTGGGGCCTTAACTTTAATAGTCTATCTGACCCAGCCCAATATTCCCAATGTGATATTTTAGCATATAATTTGTTTTAAGTGTATCCAGGGCTGGCTCATCTGTCCGTGGGACAGCTCTAGATCTGTATTGCATCTGTGGTCCTGCAGTTCAACACTCATGACGGAATGACCTAGGGGTAGAGCCATGTGTCCCGCCCCATCCTGGTTTGGATAGTGTGTGACAAACACATCAGCTGTCCCCCTGTTCCCGTGGGCAAAGCTGGATGAAGGGCATCTGTGACCTCTGCAAACTCTTGCCACTTTCCATGAACTTAGAATTATTTCAAGTTTTGAAACAGCTTTGACATTTGACACAGTTTGCATTCTTTGAAAAAGAAGTCACTGAACTCTGGTGTGTAATTCCCACCTGTTCCCTGGCTCAGTTCAGAGGCGGCTGCTTCCACCCCTCCAGCCMGGTGTTCCCGGGGGGCGGAGTCCCAGGGGCTGTGCCTCTCTGTGGATGAGCTGCTGATGGCGGGGAAGGGGCGCCTCCTCCCAGCCTGGTTTGAATCTGTTAAGTGGGGATGACGGTGCCCCAMGGAGTGAAGAGGTAAATGAGGTACCGCTGGCCGACACCCAGCCCGGGTCAGTGGCTGGGAGCCGATGTTCCCTAATTACAGATTTGAAATCCAACATGGCAGCTGTGTCTGGCTGCACCTGATGTCGTGCATCCTGCTGCCTCTCTGCTCATCTTCCCCAGTGATTAGGTTCCCTGATGTCTTTCTTCATTTTAAACGCTGGGCAGGAAGGAGGATGAGCCCCCGTTAGCTTGGGCACCTGACTCTGCTGCCTTGGACACACTGGCCCTTCTGGAAAGACCTAGCTCCTGGTGACACTCAGCACAAAGCCAGCCTTGCCTGAAGGGCAGACCTGAAAGAGCTGCATAAAGCCTCTTAGGAAACCGGCTTCCTTCAGGAGCCCTGGGCTGCCGGCACCATAAAAGGCCAATCCCCCACCCCCGCCCAGCAGGGCATAGGTGAGCAGCAGCCTGGCTCAGCTAAGCCGCACAAGCTCCTCCAGCAAGTGTGTGCACACAGGCATGAGCCACAGGAGATCTTGACACCTTTTATGGCTTTAGAGGAAGACGGAGGGCCCCGCACACCACAAAAGCAGAAACAGCCTTAGCCTGTGAGACGTGGTTGAACTCCCGGTGACACTCAGCACAAAGCCAGCCTTACCTGAAGCCAGAGGTGGCACTGCCATTGCCAGGCAGCTGCACTACAGACTTGAGTGCCTGTGTGGCTGCYGTCAGAGGAACCAGAGGAGTCAGCAAAGTCTGCAGGGGTTCCAGGTGGCGCCCATGTTCCATGCCTGGGCTCCGGTGGCTTGTCCCTGCTCCTACAGGCGGGGCTTGCCCTCCTGTCCTGTGCAGTCGGCCACGGACTCCGCCTCTCTCCCCCCACCTCTTCCTCTGTGGAGGGGAGTGGGCAGGAGGTCAGGTGTGGGTGGCATTCAAACCTGACGGGAAGGGCGGGTAGAGAGTGGGAGCCTGTTCTGGGCAGAATGGAAGGGCAGCCAAGCTGAGCCGGGACCTGGGGGTGGAGACCCTAGGCCAGAGCGTGGGGCCTGAGCGGGGGTCTGCCCCAGACAGTGGGCAGTCACAGAAAGTGCCGAACCCYGTGGGCGGGATCTGTTGGGTTTGCCTGGCGGAACTGAGCTGATGTGGGTGGGGCAGGGCGAGAGCCGCCATCCATTCACCCCTGGGCTGAGCACCTGCTGTGGCCCAGGTCCCCACCAAGTGCAGGCGTCTTGAGGGCTTTGCCTCTTGGTTACTTAKAGGACAGTGACACTGTGCCTTTCTCACTCTGCCTTCCCCAGCTGCCTCCCTGGAGGCCCCATCACCCCTGCAAAGAGGCTGGCCAAGTTTTGCTTGGGTAATTTCAGGTAGGAAGCAGAAATCGCCTGGTTGTTTTAGGTTCTGAACTTTGAGATCGCTGGGCCCTTCCTGCCAGGTTCCATTTCTTCTTTGCACCCCGTGCCCTAGCCCCTCCCCCGCGTCCTAACCGAGCTGGTGGCTCTAGGGCCAGGGACCAGGGACGGGAAGTCGTTTTCAAAAGAGACAAAATAAACCTTCAAAAAGCATCAGAGCAGCACAGAGGGAGAAATGGGGGAGTAGTGTCACCRCGGAGACCAAGGTCCGTGCTCATGGCGGGGAGTCACGTCCGCCGTGCTGACCCTTGATGTGTGATGAGAGGGCACTTCGCCTCCGCGATTCTCGTCCCCCAGCTCCTACCACCAGTGGTGGGCACTTTACAAAACACCTGACCACACTGCTCAAAGCCCCCAAGGCGACCACAGCCAAGGACATTCTGAGACACCTTCAACCCAGAGAAGCGTAAGGGGGACAGAATGACTAAATGACATCTGGGATCCTGGAACGGAAGAGGGACATCAGGAGAGGGAAACTGAGGCGGTCTGAAGAGGACGCAGCCTTGAGTGACTGGCAATGTGTCAGCATTGGTTCACGGACCGTGACACACGAGTCAGGGTGACCTAAGACGTGCCCCGCAGCTGGAATGGGGTGGGGGTCCCGCAGGCGCTCTCGTATCACATCTACGGCCACCGCATCTACTGGTTGTATTTGGCTTAGCCCTGTRTCTGGTGGTGACCACGAGCACCACCTAGTGGCCACATGGCCACGCTGGCCCTGGTCACCTCCGCAGGAAGAAGGGTCAGGAAGCGCAGCCCTGTGGTTCGGAAGGGAAAAGRGTCTGCTTCCTGCCCTGTAGTGGCCCCTAATCCGGGCAGGGACACAGGCAGGGCACCCGGGGGCGGCTCATCAGAGGCAGAGTCGCACCTTTGCCTTGAGTTGGTCTGAGTGACCAATCCTGTGGCACGTGGCCCAAGACGTCCTCCTGGGGGCACCGGGCCACATTTCCTGCTGCCTCCCACGGTGCTTGGGCGTGGTGGCAAGGGCCCTTTGTCCCCTGGGAAGAGCTTAGACCCTCCCCATGACTTTTTTCCTGTCTGTTCTTAGGTCCCAGGGTCACTGTAGCTTGAGARCGACCTTGACTTGTTAATTTAAAAAGTGTGGTCCCAGACGGTGACACCCGGGCCTGGATTCCACTATGTGGGGGCATTGGGGCAGAGTGGGGAGTGGGAGGCTGGGGGGGGGTTCTCTTCCTTGTGCCCCTCCTCTCCAGCAGCTGCTGTTTTTGACTAGGGTTGCCAAATAAAACCRGGATGCATATATTTAAATCTGAATTTCAGATAAACAACCACAATCATATTTTTAGTGTAATTATGTCTCATGAAATGTTTGGGACTGTTGATATTAAAATTCATTATTTACTGAAATAAAACTTCGCTGAACATGCTGTGTTTTTATTTGCTCCAATTCTTTCATTTATTTATTTATTTTTTGGTACCAGGGATTGGGCCYGGGGTGCTTAACTCCTGAGCCACACACCCAGCCCTTTCTATTTTTTTAAAAATTTGAGACAGGGTCTTGCTAAGTTGCGGAGGCCGGCTTTGAACTGGAGGTCCTCCTGCCTCAGCCTCCCGAGGGGCTAGGATTACAGGCCTGTGCCACCAAACCCGGCTTTACCCCGATTCTCTACCAGCCCCAGTTCCGACCCCTCTGGGTTGGGGCAGTGACAGGGATGAGGTGGTGGGGGCACAACACCTCTGCCTGGTTCCGGGGCCTGTCAGTTTCTGACGGCTGGTGGGGTCCGAAGCTTAGTGACCGAGGACACGTAAGGTGTTCTCTTAGAGTTCCCCAGGTCAGAAGCCTCAGGTCCGGGGTGGGCAGGGCCGCACTCGCCCTCGAGCTCTAGAGAACCCCCGCCCCAGCCCCACCTGGGACCCCCCCCCTCCGTCTTCCTGCAGAGTGCGGCATCTTCCACTGTCTCCGTCCCTCTGCGTCTGGCTTCCACCTGGACCTCTCCTTCTCCGTCCCCCTTCTGTCCCCTCCCTCCATCGGAACCCCTGTGKTGACAGGGACCCACTGAGTCACCTGGGACAATCTCATCTCAAGGTCTTTAACTCTGTGGGGTTCTGGGTCTTCGGGTGGATCTCGGCCCCCAGGTAGCAAGCTGCCTGTTTCCATCTGACCAGGCTCAGGGCCACCTCCCTGCGCCCTCTGCACCCCTCCCGCTGGGCTTGCCCAGGCAGGTCCCCTTGCTGTGGATGCTGCTGCTTTGGCATTGCCCTGCTTGCCCTGTGTGAAGGTCCCTGCAGCCTCTCGTGCTGGGTTCCCGTCACCTGGGAGGCCCTGGAGGGCCCTTCTGTGCTAACTCCAGGACCGTGCTTTCCTGTCCCAGGTTCCTGTCCCAGGTTCCCACGCTGACTGGAGCCCCCGAGAGGAGCCACCCAGGCCTCAGGGGACATGGAATGCCACCTCTGAATCTCTCCCAAGAACCCCTCATCTCCATGGCCTTGGGCCTTTTGCACCACTGTCTGGGGGAGGGATTCAAAAAATTGTGTTCTTCTTTAAGGAYTTTTTGGTGAAATTCACATAAGATAAAATTAACCCTTTTAAAATGTACACTTCAGAGGGCTGGAGTTGTGGCTCAGTGGTAGCGCGCTCTCCTAGCAAGCGTGAGGCCCTGGGTTCAATCCTCAGCACCACATACTAACAAACAAAGGTATGGTGTCCAACTACAACTAAAAAATAAATATTAAAAAAAATGTACACTTCAGTGACTTTAGCTGGCTCACACCTGGGGTGACTTGTGTCTAGTCGGGAAGCATTCTAGCCTCCAAGGGTCCCCACCAGGACCAGGTGCTCCCACTCTTCCTCCCGCCCCCGCCCTGGGCAGCCACCAGTCAGCTCTCCAAGGCTCTGCATGACGGACAGGTCATGTGAATGGAATGAGCCCTGCGTGGCCCTCCGTGTGTGGCCCCTCCCGGTGTCCTGTTTCCCAGGTGCATCTGTGTTCCTGCCTGTCTGTATTTCATTCAGCACCTTTTGAATGCCAGGCGTAATCGTGCACAGAGAGTCCATACGGATCTGATGGAAAGTGTGAGTCCACCTTTGGGCTGCTGTGCCCGTGCTGTGTCCCTCCTTACGCAGTGTTGAATACCTGGGCTCAGATTTGGGTGTACATAGGAGAGGAATTGCCGGGGTCACGCAGTAATTGCTCAGCTTTTTGAAGAACTGCCAGACTTTTCCTGTTCGTTGTAACATTCCCACTGTCAGGGTTCCCATTTCTCCATCTCTGCGATAACCCTTATTTCCATTAAGTATTAGCCATCCCAGTGGGTGGGTGTGTTTTTTATTGTTTATTTTCTACTATGAAATGCTGCATAGGGTCCAGCAGGCTTTGTGCCATTTGCTGTGAGCTACATGTGGTTATCTAAACCTGAGTCAAAACTAACTGACCTTCAATGAAATGAAGACATCTGTCTCTCTCTGCTCTCTCCCTCTAGCTCACATGGCACAGCTGAAGTTCATGGGGGCAGTACTGAGGGTCCCTCCCTTGGAAGGCAACCTCGCCTGTATTTCCTGCTGGGTGAGGGTCTCCCAAGCGCCTTGCCAGTCCAAACTTGGAGGATCCTAGGATAGCTCCAGATATGGGCACGGGGGGCGTGTGGTGACAGACAGCAGGGGCCCAGCTGCAGAGGGTGCTGGTGGGCGGCTCAGCCCCTCTGAGTTGGACTCTGTCTCACCTGCCAGGCTGGCTAGCAGGGCCGTCCCCATGGCTGGCAGGACCAGAAGCCAGGACCCTGGGGCGCTAAGGAGAGATCAGTGCTCAGAGTCAGCCTACCTGGGGCCAGCCCCGTGTGCAGCTGCAGCCTGTGGGGACCCCCCTGGGAGTGGCTGGAATAGCGCAATGGCTATTCAAAAAGAAAAAGAGACAGTCTTTTCTTCATCGGCGGCGGCGAAATTTCAGACACTTTAAGTTTCACCCAATTCAAAGACCGCGGAGAGTGCGTCGGCTGTTTGTTATGTACACGCAGCTGGCAACGGCTCCCTCCACATCAGCTCCTGCCCCTGCTGTCGGCACTTGAGAGGCCACTACTCTCTCCCCCCCCCCCAGCACATCTCACTTATATGAATTTGTCTCTTCATCGGCACCACAGCTGCTCCAGGGGCCACTGCAGATATGCTCGAGAGCCTTGAGGCAGGACTCAGGGACCTGCTCCGTGTTCCAGTACCAGGTGTCTTGGACATCAGGAGTCCTGTGTGCAGGTGACAGACACCTATCTGGAGCCAGCAGAGGGGAAGACTCGGGGCTCTTCACCCGTGTCATTGGCATCCGTGAGAAGGCATTGGCTGGCTTGGGGACGTAACACTCTGCTTCTCCTGGTACCTTGGGCTCCGGGGTCGGAGGATTTCTCCAGGAGCGGCCATGTCTCGTGAGTGGTGGGCAGTCAGGCCTGCAGCCCTCGGGCAGGAAGGGCTTCTGTTTTTGTTCTAACCTAAATGGCCAGGAAGCATCTGATTGGCAGACAGCAGGGGTGCCTGGGTAGGTGACCAAGCCGACCCCAAGCAGCTGATGTGGCTGGACTAGGAGTCCCCCACAGGATGCTCCATCCTGTGTGCAGTGATCGGGGCTGCAGGCTGGAAAATCAGGCTTCACTGTTGACTGTAAAGCTCTGTTCATGTCCCTGAGGACCAGCTCATTGGTGTCAATGTCACCCCAAGTGCAGGCAAACCTTCCCTTCCTGGTTGCCCCTTCCTTGGATCTCACAGGAAAAGTTGGGCCCCCCAGGCTTTGCCCAAGTGCTGGGGATGGCAGGTCTCTGGTGACCTCTCCTGCCCTAGTCACAGGAGGGCCGAGCCTGGCCCAGGCTAAGCGTGCTCTGGCCAATTCTCCACTTCGGGCATCAGCCAGAGTCCTTTGGCTTCCTGAGGTCACCCCATTCTTTACTTCTTGAATGGCCACCCCTTGGTTCTGCTAAGGAGACTGGCAGACCTAGCAGGGACATTGGCTGGGGGCCTGCGTTCTCTTGGGGAGACGTAGGAACTAAATACAGCAAAAGCACTCGGCAGCGGAGGGCAGCAGGGCAAAGCAAGGCACTGAGGAGCCAGGCAGCCTCCCAGGTGGCCAGGGCGGGCACGTCCTTGGGGGCAGAAGGCATGTCCTTGGAGCCAGGCCAGGTGGAACTGGGACAGGAGGGGACCAGCACCTCCCACTCCTTCAGCAGATGGGGGCTGGGAGATGGAGGAGGCCCGTGAGTGCCAGGCAGGGCAGTGGTGCTCACGGCTGTGGTGGGAGTGCCACACACACAAGTAAACTAGAAGACAGTGCTGCCTCCGTGGATCTTACAGCTGTCCCAGCCCAAAATGCCTGGCACCCCTGGGTTGCTCCTGTGCAGTCAGGTGTGCTAACTGGGGCCACTCACCTGAAGAGGCCAAGAGTTTCCACATGACGGAGCTCAGGTCAAGTTCAGATGAGGCTGTGTGCGAAGGGCCAGCCTCAGGCCTCTGCAAAGTGGGCCTCTGAGTTAAGACGCTGTGGTTCAGGATGTCCAGAAACTGCTGCAAGGAGTCACTCTGGGCTAGAACCCCGGCGGCCACTCCAGTCACTGCTGCCACCGTCTTCCAGGGAGAGCCGCTGGGTCATTTGGACCCACAGAATTTCAAACAGCAAGTTTCTGCTGGTGGGTGACTTTAGAGAGCAGAGTCCTCCGTAGGAGCAGTGTTGTCATTCAAAGGGGTCATTATGGAGAAGTCAGTCCTGCTCCTGCTTTTCCTAGCTTTTCAGTTGGTTTTATCTGTCACCCCAGCTTGGTGAGTGGCCAGGAAGGTGTTCACAGTCGTGACTGACGCGGCCTCGCTGTCCAGAGGGCAGGTCAGATCTGGGATTCAGTGTGAAGTGCTCCAGTGGCAGCAGCATGGGGAGGAGGGCGTATTGGAGGAGGCCAGGTGGCCATTACCAAGGTCCAGCCTGAACCACCAGGTCCTTGGGAAGTGAGCAGACCAGGCCATATCTTAGAGGTAAAGTAGATTTACTAATCAAAATGGGGAGAGGAGGAGGAGGTACCCTCCAGGTCTCTTGTTGGGCCATGGGAGGTCAACAGGAGAAGCAGTCTAGGGACTGCTAGGCTGACCGGGCTTGCTAGGCTGAGTGTGAGGTGCCTACAGTGGACCTATGGGGTCAGAGTCCAGGTGAGCAAACCTGCTGGACCTGTAGGTTAGTGCTCAACACAGCGGGGGGGGGGAGGGGGGAAGGGGGCTATCTCAGGAGGATGCAGAGGGTGGAAAGAGGGGAAGAAGCAGGAGGAGCTGAAGCCAGATGGGACTGGGAGAAGATGGGAGCAAGGAATGAGCACCCCAGAAGCCCAGGAAAGAGCTGAGGAGGCAGGAACGCCCACAGGCAATGCTGCATGCCAGGGCTCAGTGCCCCTTGGGGTCAGTGACAGGGTCCTGGCCAAGACAGGCTTTCAGTAGGCTTAAGAAATGGGCAGAGGGGAAGAAATGGAGGCTATGTGTCGAAACACTTTGGAATGAAGGGGTGGTGAAGCTGAAGAAGGGCACACACAGGTCAGGGAGTGTTTACCAAACTGTGCCACCGGGAGGAACTGGACAGATCCTGTCCTGCCCTCTGGACAGCGAGGCCACATCAGTGAAGACTGTGAACACCTTCCTGGCWACTCACCMAGCTGGGGTGACAGATAAAACCAACTGAAGAGGTGGAAGAAGGCCTCAGGACCAGCAGGTGGGGTGTCCAGGACAGGGCGCTCTGTCTTCGGAGGCTAGCAGAGCAAGTCCTCAGCTGGGTCCCCTTTTGGGTCCCCCTCCTCCCGGGAATGTGCTCAACCCCCAGCTCAGCCTCGCTCCCTCGCCCAGCTCCTCCGCTCCGCCCCGCCCAGGGCCTCTCCTCCCCAGCAGCCCCGCGGGCCAGGCACTGCCTCTCCCYGCTAGCCAGTTCCCAGTGACCGCCCGCAGCCGCTCCTTCCCGCGGACCCGGTCCACGAGCCCGGCCCCGCCCACACCGCGCCCCGCCCACCCCCCGAGGCGCCTCGCCATTGGCTGGCTTCGTCCCTGGGCTCCGCCTCCAGATTCTGCTTCCTGGATTGGGGCACTCGACCGCCGGTCGGCACCGTTGCCAGGGAACGCGGCTGGGGAGACTCCCCCGAGCAAACCCCTGCTGCCGGACCCACTGGGGTCCTTCAGGTCGGTGAGCTGAGCGGGAGGCGCGGGCCGGCTCTACTGGGGTGCGGATGCGTGCGGAGCGTGTCCCCAGTGGGCCTGAGCCCTGCCGCTCCCCTAGTGTCCAGGCCTGTCCAGGCCCCTGGAGTGTGCCCGGGGACAGCTCAGAGGGAGGGAGKGCCTCCGGTGTGGACCTCTGAGCACGGAAGTACACTGGCCTTCTGCCATCTGTGCGATCAGATCAGAAGTCCCTAGAAGTGCCCTCCGCATGGTCAAGGCCAGCTGCCCGGAAGGGAGAGCCACGAGAGAATGCTGGCATTGACACGGGAAGGAAGCGCAGCATCTGTGGAGGCAACAGGAGTGGGATATATGGAGGATGTGCGGGGATCTTCTTGGCCTGGAGCTGATAACTAAAATGATAGCTTAGGAGGGAAAAGCAAAGGGCCCCCCGGACACGGCCCTCTGAGCCCAGGGTGGAGGGAGGGAAGCCAGCCTTGGGCCAGGGGAACGCCTTGCTTGGGTTCAAGCTGCCCCTTGCAGAAGGGGTACTGGACTCTGGGGCATAAACAGGACTTAAGGTGGGTGGGTTCTGATGGAGTGGTTAGAGTGTCCCCAGAAAGGGGACAGGGAGGGCCATGTTCATGGCTTTAAGGGTGATGGCTCCTCAGAGGTAGAGGGTTGGAGGTTGGCCAGCCAGGGTGGAGCCTCCTCATGATGACAGGACCGGTCCTGAGAAGCTTGGAAAGGAGTCCACAGAGCGTCCTGGGACACCAGCGGGAAGTGTGCCCAGAAAAGGCCCCGTCGTCTGTCTCGCGTGGCGTGGGATCCCGCTGCAGGCCCTTAGGGCAGGACTGCTTCCCTTGTTCCCAGGCCTAGACCCAAGGAGCTRCCTCTGCTTGTCTTTGGCCTTCCCAGTTCCCCGGGTTGCTTTATTCAATCCTTTGACCTTGTGTTAAATTATTCACTGATGGTTGTGAGAGCACGCCAAGCCAGGCTTCATTCAAGAGCCTGGCCATAGGTACAGGGACATGGCAGAGGGGGCAAGGTGGGGGTCTTCTCGCCTGGGCAAGTGGGAATTTACAGCCCAGGAACAGGTGRGGGTCAGTGGACAGAAAATGACCAGAGGCAACACCAGGAGGGAGGGGGATTCTGGCTAGCCTGACCTAACCAAGTKTTTGCAGAAGACAGGCCAGGCGATGAGCTGTCGCCCAGGGGTTGGTGGGGGATGAACCTGGCTTTCTAACAGGGGTAATGGGCTGTGAGGATAGGGTCCTCGTGAAAGGTGGATTTTACCTGGAGGAGCACAGATAGGAGGAGAGCCTGACTAAAATTTGGTCAAGCAAGCAAGCAATCTGTCACCTTGGGCTAGTGGACTTTCTTCCATTTTGATTAAGGGTTGAAAAGAGCTTAGTGACTTGTCCCCTAGTCCTAATATGGAGTGATGTGATTTGAACTCAGATCTTTGCCTATGCTTAATGGCAGGGCCCGGAGTCCCATGCAGAGAGGGGCAGGGTGTGAACCAGTGTCCTAGGGGTAGGAGGGACACCATCCTGTTGGCCCCTGCTCACGTCCTTGAAGCCACAGCTTCTCACCTTCAGCCTGTGAGCTTGAGGGCTGTCCTGTTCGCTGTAGAATGGTCAGCAGCATCCTGGGCCTCCGCTCTCCAAATGCCAGCAGGATTCTCTTCTCCCAGTTATGACATCCCAAATGTCTCCCATCATTGTCACATGTCCCCTGGGAGAAGAAACCACCTCCAGGTGAAAGGCTGCTGGTACTGTGATCTCAACGAGCTTCTTTCTCTAAGAGGATGTGACATGGGTCAACGTGGCAGGACGGTGGCTGTCCCAAATACCCAGGTGAACCTATGAAAGTCTGATGAGAAAGCTTGTCTGGGACTGAAGTTCGGGAGCTTGCATTTGGAAAGGGCATATCAGAAGCCTTCTTTTCCTCCCAGACATTGCTGGGAGGTTGGACACTGTTGGGAGATTTCTGTCCTGTCACGTTTGTAGTGAGAACATTCAAAATCCCCTCTTCTGGATATTTTGAAACAGACAGTTGCTGCAATCATCCTGCTGTGGGGAGGCCTCCTTTTGGGTCTGCAAGGATGCATCTGTTGGCCAACCTCCCGGTGCACACCCCTGACATCCGGTGGGTGTTTAAAAGTTGGTACGATGCTCCCTCTCCTGGTTGAGCCCTGGATGACAGTGTTATTTACTGGGGCTTGGGTTTGGACATTTGGCCTGCCCCCTGGCCCTTGGGGTCTACTTGGCAYGGCTGTGCCCTGGGGCTGGGACTCCTCTGAAGCAGCCCCTTTGCCTCAGAGACGGGGCCAGCCTCGGCCACTGGACACTGAGCCAGGCCAGAGGTTTTCCTTCTTGGCTCTTCTGCTGTTGTGAAACCTGAGCAGAAGCATTTAGATCAGATGGCATGTGAGTGGCACCGCACACTGGGCTGGGCGACCTGACCCAGCCTGCCTTGGCAAGCCCCGCGGGTCCTGCTCTGGGGAGGCCCCCCCCAGACGCGCTCTTGCGGGTGTGTTAGCAGTGAAGCTGGTCAAGGCAGGCCCCTCGTGGACAGACGACCTTAGTCAAAAGAGGGCGATGGCAGGGACATGGAGGACTGGCGCTTTGCAGGGGACTGTGAAGTGGAGTGCCGTGTGGCAGTTCCTCCAAGTCAGGGTCACCTTAGGAGCCAACAGCTCCAGGGCTCGGCATCCACCTTGGGACTGTGAGAGATGGCTGGAGCGGATGCGGGCTCACCACGGCCCACTCACAGTGGCCAAGAGAACACCAGGGCCCGGCTGTCCCTGCACGAGCGAGGACCTGTTCACATGGTGAAGTGCCAGTTGGCCATAGGAAGGGGTAAAGGGCAGACACCGGTCGTGGCTGGGTGGCAGGACAGCAGGGCACTGGGCGAAAAGTGGGAGGTGGGGAAGGCCAYGTGCTGGGACCCGCTGGAGGACCGTCCAGAATGGGAGCCACAGGGGCAGAGCTATGGTTGCCTGGGCTGGAAGTGACAGGAGCGAGGTGCCCCGCGGCTGATGGGCGTCCCTTGGCACACACAGGCGGGGGCTGACAGCACCGTCGATGGCCTAAATGCCCCTGGATCGTTCTCCTTAACATGGTTGGCGTCGCGTTGTGGGGCTCTYACCTCAATAAAAGGAAAGACAGACCCCTGGGCACCCACCTTTGGCCGTCACATCTTGATGGGGACACTCGTCATGCTCCCTGCCGCTGGGATGGCCTCCTCCTGGCCCAGCCTCCTGGGAGGTGGCTTCCTGTGGCACAGACCCCGCTGACCAAGTTGCCCGCGCTGGTGAAGGGTTTGTCACCTTGGCGGTGTCACCAGTGCAGTTCCCAGGAAGCCGGGACAGGGGATGAATGTCACAGACTTCACCTTTCAAGAGGCGTTTCCTTGCTAACTGTGCTCTTTTTTAAAAAATATTTTTTTAGTTTCAGATGAACACAGACCTTTATCTTATTCATTTAGGTTTATGGGGTGCTGAGGATCCGACCCAGTGGCTCACGTGTGCCAGGCGAGTGCTCTGCCTCTGAGCCCAGCCCAGCCCCCTCTAACTGCTCTTTTGATGGACCCCCTGCCACCTGGCTTCTTCCAGGCCTGTGACAATGAACCAGGCCCCCGGGTCACCTGCTTTTGGGTGTCAGTCTCTGTTTCTGCCCCTCTGACACCTCAGATGAAAGAGGCCTGCTGGCTAGGACCTGAAGGGCCCGGCCACACAAGGACCGTCCCTGCCCTTGGCTTTGCTGACCCAGTGCAGTATCCCAGCGATGCTCCGGGCACGGCTGGTGCCAACTAGTAATATCTACCACACGGAAGCCCCACTTCGAGGTCTAGTGCATTTTAGCTGCATTTTCCAGGAGAATTGGCACTTACCGGCTGGACCCCAGAGTCGTCGCTGCCTCGATGGTCACTTTGACCTTCCCCTAACTTGTCTCTGTCCTTCTGCAGAGAACCCGCTGGGTCCCAGGAGAGATGGGGAACAGCAGGAGCCGCGCGGAGCAGAGGTGTTACTCCCAGTTCCTTCCCGAGGAGCAGGCGGAAGTCGATGCGCTGTTTGACACCCTGTCGTTGGACAAGGACAGCTCTGAGGCCTCGCCCAGGTCCTTCTCACTGCAGGCGCTGAAGGCAAGGACGGCCGCCGGCGCCCCGTGCGAGCTGGGCCCAGGGTCTGTGCACCCTGGTCCTGGGGCGGGGGGAGCACTGAGGAGTGGGCCCTCTGAAAAGCGGAGGGCCGCGTGGTGTCCCTGGTGGCTCCTCTGCCCTGCCTTGCAGAGCCGCCATTGGTCACAACTAAAGGTCCCCTCGTCTTTTCTTGAAGTCACTCTAGTCGTATTTGTATGGAAGAAAGGAGCTAGGAGTAGGTGGAACTTCCACAGAGTTTGGGGTGTTTCTAGCCTGAGCTGATGTGGGGCATGGGGAGCAAGGGGGGCCACTGCCTCCTGCCCTGGAGCCGAGTCTCCTGGCCGCCCTCCCTGACACAGGGTGGCAGCTGGGGACAAGGCTGCTTCAGTGCCTCGGGCGCATCTGTGCCCCTTACAGTGCTCCTGACGCTGTGCTGAAGACTCACGTTCCAGGGTCTCCTTCAGGGAGGTGAAACTGGCCATTTCTATAGGACCCTCGAGTGCTCAACCTGGGCAGGACACTGACCAAGGACTGCATTAGTGCGTCTCCCCGGGAGCGGGCAGTGTGGGTCTGATGGRCATTGGGCCCACCCACAGTTTGCAGACGAGGAGGCTGGCCAGGGAGGCTTTGGGGCTCTAGTTCATGGCGCAGCCCACGTGTGTGCCCATGTGTCTCCTTCAGACCAGGAGCACCCAGTGGGCCTGGGCACACACGGCTGGAGCTGAGAGGACCAGGCAGGCCAGGACCTGACCGTAGTGGACGGCTGAGGTGGTGCGCCCTAAGAGCTGACCTCAGTGCCGGGGAGGGCGTAGAGCGCTCTGCGACAGAACTCTGGAAGTGGACAGAAACAGGAGTCTCCTGAGAGCGCCCAGGAGAGCTGCAGCCACTGACGCGGTGACAGACGGCACGCTCTGGGGCTGGTGGGAGCCCCGCACTCCGACCCTGCGCAGACCCTGTGACTCTGTTCACGACTTGTGCTCTTTTCTGCTTGCTTGCCGTCCCTGGTCAAATCACATTTGATGTTGAAGCCAAAAAGAAAAACAGTATTTGTATAATGACATCATTAAAGTGCCGATTGAGAAACCCAAAAGTCTAGTGGAAGTGACTAGAAATGCATCTTGAGCACACGAGTTGGGCTAGTGCAGCGGACCCAGGCACTCGGAAACCCTAGTGTGGAGGCCAGATGGCTGTGCACAGACAGGCCACGCAGGCGGATAAGCTCAGATGTGGCAGCACAAGGCTCTAACCCACATGATCTCCTAAGGGGGGGACAAGCAGGAGGAGAGATGGGCAGAGGCAGGAAAGACGTGGCCAACCGGGGACACTGGACAGTATGGCAGGCAGGGCAGGAGCAGAGTGGAGGATCTGATGGCCAAGGCAGCTGCGCTGGGCCCTGTGAGGGTGGGCCCTGGGTGGGGGGGGCTGGCTGCTGAGAGCATCAGGGCCCCAGCCCCCAGCTCACTGCCCTGGGACACTGCCAAGTTGACCTTGTGCCCCTCCAGCCCTTTCTCCCACCTGTCCCCAGCAGAACCGCGYTGGGGAGGCTCTTCCCGCAGAGATGGTCAGCAGACTGTATGACGCTATGCAGAGAGTCCACCCGACTGGGAGGGCTCAGGGGCCCAGCAAGGGCRTCTCTCAGGAGCAGTTCACGGCGTCGCTGTCCCACCTGCTGAAGGGCAGCTCTGAGGAGAGGAGTCTCATGATTCTGAAGATGATTTCTGCCAAGGAAGGTCCCGTGAAAGCCAGAGACCTCCAGAAGGTAGGGGACGCAGGCCCCTGAGTGGTCTTGGCCATGGGCTTGGAGCTGGGGTGGGGACTTGGCTGAGATTTCTGCTCCTGGGGAGCCCTCGACCATGTACCCTGTGTCCAGGGTCTGAACTCCTGGACAAAGGCGGGGGCAGGACTTGTAGGTCAGCCATGTGTGTCACCAGAAGGATRAGGACCTATAGGGGTTGGGGACTTCCTGTCAGCCATGTGTGCCACTGGAAGGGTGAGGACTGTGTCAGGTGGTGACTGCCCCATATTGCGGTCCATGGTGCGGGGTGTTGGAGAGAACTGGCCGGCCCACGGYGGTGTGGTGGGGTCTGGGTCATGTGGACCGTTGTTACAGGTGGAATTGTGGGCTTGCAGTTCACAGAGGATCTGGTTGGCTCTGTGGAGCATGTGCTGGCCCACAGGCAGGAGCTGAAGGGCTGGACCCGGAAGAAGGCCCCAGGAACCCCCACCAGGGTGCAGGCACTGGCCGCCCACCTGCTGTCTGAGATGAAGCTTCCAGGCAAGTGCCCGGCCATCCTCAGCGATGCTGGCCTTGGTGGTAGACTGTGGCCTTGCAGTGGCCTTGCAGCTGTGCTGTGGCCTTGCAGCGAGTCTATCCAAGYGGGGGTGGGAGTAGGGGTGGCTGAGCCCTTGGGTGCGTTCTGAGTGTCATGGGATTTCTGTATGATTCTAGCGATGGCCCCACCTCTGTTGCTGATGTGAACAATGTTTCTCTATTTTTTTGTGGATCTCCTCAAATAACCAGATTTTGATTCTATTGATTTTTTTTAAAAACTCCTGTTTTTCTACTATTCCATGTATTTTGCCGTAGTCTTTTGTTCCCCTCCTTCTGTTTGCATTAGGTTTAGTTTGTATTCTTTTCCTGATTTCTTAAGATACAGGTGGAGATGATTGATTTGAGATCTCTCTTCACTGTAGGCAGCGTCAGCGTAGGCAGCTATGAATTTCCCTCTAAATGCTGCTTTAGCTGCACCCATGAGTTTTAGGTTTTGTTTTCATTCATCTTAGTGTTTTCTAATGTCCCTTATGATTTCTTCTTTGACCTATTGGCTATTTAGAAGTGTTATTCATTGGGCTGGGGATGTGGCTCAAGCGGTAGCGCGCTCGCCTGGCATGCGTGAGGCCCGGGTTCGATCCTCAGCACCACATACCAACAAAGATGTTGTGTCCGCCGAGAACTAAAAATAAATATTAAAAAATTCTCTCTCTCTCTCTCTCTCTCTCTCTCTCTCTCTCTCTCCTCTCTCTCTTTAAAAAAAAAAAAAAGAAGTGTTATTCAATTTTTACATGCTGTGAATTCCTCAAATTGCCTTTGGCTACTGATTTTTAATTTTATTTCTTCATGGTTGGAGAACATATATTGTATGATTTACTGGGGCATCTTTTCTGGCCTAGAATATGGTCTACTTGGGGTATTGTGCATCATACACTTGAGAAGCATGTATTCTGCTATCATTGGGTGAGAAACAGTATATATTTAGATTTACTTGGCATTTGAGATTTTAAAAAACTTCATGGTGAAGTCTCTCTGCAAARTAGAGTTACTTTATAAATATGTTACTCTTTTATTATAAAGCCAGGTTTTAAAATACAATTTTAAAATAAGTCATTTTTCAAATATTTAGGAAGGTATTTGGAATGTGGAAAGATATACATATCAGTATCTTGTGGGTGAATTATTTGTTTTATTTTAAAGAGAGAGAGAGAGAATTTTTTAATATTTATTTTTTAGTTTTCGGTGGACACAATATCTTTATTTTATTTTTATGTGGTGCTGAGGATCGAACCCAGCACCCCACGCATGCCAGGTGAACACATTACCGCTTGAGCCACATCCCCAGCCCAATTATTTGTTATTTCAAAGTCAGTAGTTTTAAAAAGAAGAATCATAAAAAGAGAAAACTTAAGTTAACTTGTCTTTTAACTAGAAAAAGTTAAATCAAACAATTAAAATCATCCTTAAGATTTCAGGTAATGAACAGGTAGTGAGAAATGTATTTGAAACTAGTTTGATTAGAACTGATGGGAGTCTGAAGCCTCATACAAGTTGGGGAGAGGATGATCAAGTAGTTGGGTTTCTACATTTCCTGGACTTTCTGTATGATTCTGGTGAAATGGGCAGGAGTTAGAGGAAAACCATTATTTGAGGTTAGACCCCAAGTTTCCCTGGGCTGGGAGTGATAGCAGCTGTGAACGGAGGCTTCACACGCACCAGTGAGTTTAAAAACAGAAGTTCCCTGGGCCTGGCGGTGACCGCACGGCGTGTCTGGAATCGCGTCCCTCGTGCCCACAGGGAAACCGAGGCTGCTTCAGGCCCAGGTGTTTCCTGTGACATCACCGTGTCACCTCACTCTGTAGGTGAGAGAGGGACAACAGCATTGGCTTTTCCCAGATCAACTAGAGGGTCCCCGTGAGGGACCAGCCACCCCACCCTGGACAGTTGACCCCTGGGGCTGAAGCCCTCACAGGCCCCAGCTGCTGAGGCACGGGGGACGCGGCCTCCTTGTCAGGGCCTGGATGTGAGGCGGCCAGCTGAGGGGCAGCTCGGTGGGCAGCTCGGTGGGGAAGGAGAGGACAGGGGTCTCGAACTCAAATTGTTGAGACCAGCACTGGAGAAATAAAGCAGGCCCCTCGTGGAATTCCARAACTTCATAGCAGCCACATTTGAATAGTGGGAAGGACGGGGAAGGTGATCTTAATACACCCCGAGGGGATCTCGGCAGGTAATCAGTGTGAACAAGAGGCTGTGAGCTATTTTCCGGTCTTTTCCATACCAGGCTCATCTCCAGTCAGCCGAGCCGCCTCCCGTGTCCAGGGTCCCACTCGGTCCCCAGCTCCTGTTTCTGTGTGGCTCAGTTGCTGGCCCAGTGACACCATTTCCCCTCCTAGATGGCAGCAGGCCGCTGGGGCCTCACTGGCTGGACCACGCCTGTGACCGAGCCACGGTGGAGGACTGGGTGTTCAGGGTCCCCCACGTGGCCACGTTCCTGAGAGTGGTCATCCACCAAGGCTTCCTGGTCCTGCGTTCGTCCCTCGATCTGGCCACGCTGGTGCCCGAGCGCCAGGTGGGCCCCGGGCGGGAGTTCGAGAGCGTCCTGGACGTCCTGGCGGCCATCTACCTCAACGCCCACCTGGCGCAGGAGCAGCGGCACCACTGGCGCCTGCTCTTCTCCTCCCAGCTCCACGGGCAGAGCTTCTCGCAGCTGTGCGGGCACATCACGCACCGGGGGCCCTGCCTCGTGCTCCTCGAGGACCAGGACGGACACGTGTTCGGTGGCTTTGCCTCCTGCCCCTGGGAGGTCAAGCCTCAGTTCCAAGGTGAGCCTGGGCGACCGCGCTCCCCGGGGCAGCCCAGCTGTGGGGGCGCCCGCCCGCTGCTGCTGCCCTGGAGGCTCTGGGCAGTGGGGAGCAGGGGCGCTGGCAGGCCTTCTCCTGGCCTCTCCGGGTGTCCTGGACACGAGGGGCCTGACAAGCCAGGACACCTTTCTGGTGCGCAGACCTCCTCCGGTCCTGGCCATGGGATAAAGTAAGCAGGGGCAGCCTGAGGCCAGCTTCCAGGTGAGGACACAGAGGCCCAGTGTCACCCACCCCACCAGGTCTCGAGGTCGTGGGAGAGGCTGGCCTTCGTTTGTCTGGGAGGGACCCACAGATGACTCTTCTTTCAGAGGGACATTTTTGCTGCCTGGACCGACTGGCCGCCCTCCTGTCCCCTCCTCCCTTCTGTGGGCGCTGCCTCCTGGTCTTGTAACTTGGTGGAGGTTGGAAGCTGCTCGCCCAGTGCCAGAGGCCGGGGCAGACCTTCCCCTTCCCCGGGAGAACCTGCTGAGAGCATCCCCCGGAGCGTCGTCAGGCCAYGGCCCTGTCCCTGGGATTGGGAGGGGAGAACCAGCAGGTGGAGGGCTGGTGCTYTGTCCCCCTGATCTGCTTGTTTTAGAACCTGATCATCTCTGAGTGCTAGTCCTGACACTGGTGGGCACTCTCCCCACATGGTGTTCTCGCATGCGGCTGCCCTTGCACGTGGACTTTTCTGGAAACCACCGCCTCTGTACCTCAGCATCTGGGGTGGGGTGTCCTCCCACYGGTGACTGTGGCTCGGGGAGCCCAGCTGGGCTGCCTTGCTGTGGCTCAGGCTCTGCTTTAGGACACGAACAGGCCAAGAGTCGGGACCACAGATGACCACAGAGCCACGAGGACACTTCAGGTCCACTGCTGGGCCTCAGTGGTCCGCACACGCTGACTTTGTCCCCCTGGTCCAGTGGGGGCATGAAGAGCCTYGTGCCCTTCAGGGTGGTACGTGGGGGAAACGCGGGAAGTTACGCAGACCAGGCATCACGTCAACGGCGTTCTGCCCTGGAACGCGGGACGAAGCTCTGGCCCAGGGCAGCCTAGGCCTGCGGTGGCCCGGCCCTGGGCTTTGGTCCCCTTCAGGGCAGTGTCCACCTGTGCACCTCCAGCTCTGAGAGGGGAGCGGCCGMACGGCGCTTCTCTTTGGGTCGTTCTGAGGTGCTCTTGGAAAGACTCCAGACTTGGGTGACGGGCCTGGTCCCCGCTCTGGCCCTCGGGGAGGTGCTTGGGTCTCTGCGCCTCAGTTCCCAGAAGCCCGTGATGGTCGTGTACTGACCGTGTTCACAGCTCGGCCGGGGGCTCGATGGGGAGAACCACAAAGGAGCCCTCCTGTGGGGTCCACTCCAGCAGGCAGAGCGACCCTGGGGTCTTCCCCATGAGCTGGAGCCACTGTTTCCACGTGGCTTCCCCTGTCAGCAGCCCCAGCTGGACGGGGGGGGGGTCCCTGCAGCCGTGGCCCACACCGTGGCCCCGGCACCTCTTCTAGCAGGGCCCAGTAAGCGTCAGTCGAATGACAGCTTCAGGACCACAAGCCCGGCGCCCAGGAGGGGAGGCAGGAGCGGGGGGACCAGGCAGCTCCCAGTGCCCCAGGCCCTCTGCCTCCCGGCTCCGAGGACAGGCGCCTACCAGGCCTCTGTGTGGTCCCAGGTGCCRATTCAGACTTTCCTTCCCCACCTGGACACCCACAGGTGCTCAGGGGGAAAGACTGGCCCCTGCTGTGCCCCAGGCTCATCCCTGTGTGGGGTCCTTCCTCCATGAGTGGCTGTGGCCCCGCCACCTCTGTCCAGCACGTCCTTCCCGCCCTTGCAGGCTGTTGAGGCGCTGCCTGAGGGCCGCCCTGACCCTGGCCACGGAGGCCCCCACTGTCTGAGTGGCGGTCAGGGCATTATTTGCTGGCACTCTGCCTGCTCAAGAATGTCCTCCTCCCATGGTCCCTGGGCCTTGGATGCCCCCTTGTGTCGTCCACGTGCTTCCTGTGACCCCTTCCCTCCTYGTGGCACCCCCCCTCCGTCCAAGCTGCCGAGGCTTGTCCCCCCAGGCCTGGGCGGTGGCTCTCACAGTCGCAGGCATTTCAGCCACCAGGGTCCAGGTGCAGGCTCTGGGCCCAGCAGGCAGCTCTGGGGTGGTCCCTTGACAGAGCTTCCTGTGGGCAAGGCAGGCCCTCCTCCCACCCAGTGCTGAGTGCTGGTGGGGCAGGGGTCACTTCCAAGGCTTTGACCAGTGCTTCTTATTAATCTGGGGATTGAACCCAGGGTGCTTAGCCACTGAGCCCCATCCCCAGCCCTTTTWACGTTTTATTTAGAGACAGGGTCTCACTGAGTTGCTTAGGGTCTTGCTAAGTTGATGACGCTGGGCCCCAACTTGCGATCCTCCTGCCTCAGCCTCCCCAGCCCTGGGATTACAGGCGGTGCCACCGTGTCCGGCCAGTGCTTCTTGAAACGGCCTGTGTGCTCACACCTGTGCCKCCTCCTGTGTCCTTCCCCTCCCCGAGGTCCTGCGCTGTGAGGGGCTCTGTCTGCAGCTTTCTTCTCTCCAGGRTGGGGGTCTTTTAGGTGGGGACGGCCCCACGTCTTCACGCACACACTCCAGCAGGCTCCKCGGCATCCTAGGGGCCACCTGCCTCTGCTCCTGATTCCGAGGAGGCGGGTTCCTCCCGACTCTGCACYTCCTGAGCAGGAGCCGTGTGTCTGCTGCTCTTGGTGCCCAGTGCACACAGTGACCTGGTGTCCATTGCTCTGTGGCTTCCAGGGGACGAGAGGTGCTTCCTGTTCTCCGTCTCCCCCAGCATGGCCGTGTACCGGCCCACGGGCTACAACGACCACTTCATGTACCTGAACTGYGGGCAGCAGACCATCCCGAATGGACTGGTGAGAGCTGCAGTGCATGGGGTGGGGGTGGGGTGGGTCCCTCCTGGCGCTCAGTGTCACCTCTGCCACCAGGCACGCGCATCCGTGGCTTTGGTTCTCACCTGCACTGTGTCTGTCTGTCCTGTCTTGGGGCTGGGAGCAGACACTCGGGCCAGGGTCTCCCTCAGGAAGGCTGTGGCCTCTGCGGGGCTTTCAGTGGTGGGTGCAGAGGGTGAATGTGGCCTTTTCCCCTGGCTCCTGTGGTGGCCCACATGGGTGGCAGACCCGTCACGAGGCACCCTGCCCTCCTGCCTCACAGCTGGCACATAGCCAGGCTGGCCGGTGGCTCGTGAAACAGCAGGTGGGTCCACACGGGGGGTGGCCACGGCTCCTGGCTGTCCTTGCTGCCGTGTGGCAGCTGCAGGAAGCAGCAGAGGCTGTCGGCGGGAGGAAGACGGGCTGGCCTCCCGCTGCGCGCTGGCCCGTTCCTGGAGGGGAACCCCGAGTCGCTGAGGCCCTGGGGCTTCCTCTGCAGGGCATGGGAGGACAGCACCATTACTTCGGGCTTTGGGTAGACGCTGACTTCGGGAAGGGACACAGCAAGGCCAAGCCCACGTGCACCACGTACAGCAGCCCGCAGCTGTCCTCCCAGGAGAACTTCCGCTTTGACAAGATGGAGGTGTGGGCRGTGGGAGACCCCCCAGAGTCGCAGCTGGTGAGTGGAGGGTCTTGAAGTGGGGCTCCTCTGTTCCTCCACACGGGGGTGGTTGGTCCTGCTTGGTTTCTGGGGACGCTGCAGGCACCCGGCACAGTTGGTTTTGGGCCCTGTCCTGGAAAGCAGGGCCCTGCCCGAGGTGTGTCCCTTTGTCCCCCCTGCCCATCTGTGAGATCAGAAGGCCTGGGCTCCTTGTGGTTGCCTGGCTCTGCCTGGTTGGGCCCTCTGCACCCCCGCAGCCCCTCATCACTCTGGAGAGTRGAGCACCCTGGGCGGGGCCTCGGGGCTTCCTGCAGCAATGGCGGAGCGTGGCTCCCTCTCTATAGAGCCGACCCAGGGCCGGAAACCACGGCTCGGTTCCAGTTCTTGGGAGCTTCTCGCCTCTCTGCACATCATGAATACCCTCTCTCCTTCTCCCCAAGGTCCAGGGCAAAAAGAGCATCCTGGACGTCGATCCCGAGGCCCGGGCCCTGCTGGAGATCACTGGGCAGACTCGCCACAGTGAAGGGCTCCGTGAGGCCCTGGAGGAGGACGCCTAGGCGGCGGGGCTTCCAGAGCCTGGACACGGACATCCCTGGTGCAGCGCGTGCGGCCCTCCCCGGGGTGTGTGTGAGCCTCAGACCCCCCCTCTCCTGCCGGGCAACTCCATGGAGCCCTGGACGGGCTTGACCAGAACAYGCCGTGCCAAGAAGGTCCCTCTGCTGCCACAGATAGGATTCTGGGAGGTGACCTCCCAACCTAAGTGTCAAATTAGCAGCTCAGTCTTAAACTTTGCTCATTTCTCATCAATGATGTCCAAAGACACAGACGTTGGGAACTCGGCTGGAATTGGCGGTTCTGGGGGATGTCTTGTCCTGCAGGAAGGAGGGCCACTGGGGCCACTGGGCCTCTGCTCAGGCCATCCCAGTTAGTGCCTTGATGGTCCATTTTGACTGGTAACAGATGGACGTTTGGGCGAGAATCTCGGTGCTTGGTGGGGACAGTGTCCTCGGGCAGGAGCGTGTTTGTGTATCGAGGCCCAGCCGGCGGGGGGTGGGTGGGGCGCTGGAGAGGGGAGAGGGGGGCGTGCAGCGCTGTGGTCCCGSTGTGTGCGTGTCAGGGTCTGCGTCTGCCTTTCTCGACTCTTTTACACAGACCTGCCTCGTGAGCAGATGGGGGCTCACGGGCGCGAAGTAGCGGCTCTGTTGCCAACTCAAATGTGGGGGACCCTTGGGGGTCCTGAGCCTGGAGCTTGCTTGACAGCTGCAAGCAGCCCACCCCGAAAGTCACTGGCAAGTGACATCCAGGGCTGCTGGGGGCCGAGCCGCTAGCCACCATCCCAGCCCTCGGAGTCACTCCTGGCCTGGGGGTTCTGCCCTGGGAAYGGGGCGGGGTGGGGGGGGTGAGATGCAGACTCGCCCTGAACCCCAGGGGTTCCCAGATGCTGAGGGCTACCTGGGTGGGCTGCGCCTCCATGCACATCGCTGCCTCTCCTCTGCCGTCTGGGGAGTGGGTGCTGCTGACGACCCTCCGTCTGCCAGGAGCCGTGAGCTCCGAGTCAGACTGTCCCCTTTGTTCTGGGCAGAGCTGCTGCACTGCGGCCCTTGTCCCATACTTGCCTGGATTAGAAGCCATACTGACTCAGCTGCCTCGTTTTGGGATTCTTGGTTTCCCCCAGAGGCCGGGCGGGTCTTCTGCCGAGCCCCACCCCGACCAGGCAGGGCCTCGTGGGTCCCCTCACAAAGCCGCTCGGTGCACAGAGGGTGCAGCGGGCCCAGGGACTTGCTCACTGTCGGTCCTCTTCCCAGGAAGCCAGCTCTCAGGGCTTGTGGGGCATTACGTGGTCTTCCGGATAGGACAGCAGGTGCCCTCCCCACTACGGATCCCAAGAGTTAGGTCCTCAGTGGTCCCCTCGCTTTGGACTTTTTAAAAAAAGTGCAATTAAATACCTCCCAGGTCACACGGATGTGCCTTGATTTCCTTTGTCCTCGGTGTCAGGGGCTGCCACCCGTGCACCCGCTGGCTGCTTGACCTTGTGTTCTTCCTCCCCACTTCCCAGGCAGCACCCCTACACCAACAAGGGGGGCACTGGGAGTGTGGGGGCGCGGCAGCCTCTGGGGTGGCGGGGGGCAGCCTCTGGGGTGGCGGGGGACAGCCTCTGGGGTGGCGGGGGACAGCCTCTGGGGTGGCGAGGGGCAGCCTCCCAGGATAGTGCGGGGCGGCCTCTTTGCGTCCACACACCTTTGTCCCCATCTTCTCCGCACACCAAGAGGCTGGGGTGTCAGCGGGGTGACAGGCCTAATCACACCTGGGTCTGAGAAACTCGTGACCTTGTTTTAACAGATGAGGAATGTTAGGGTTTAAGGTGTCCCCTGAAGCTCCTGTGGGACAGTGTGGGAAGGTTAGAGGTGAGTGAGAGGTGGTGAGACTGTACCCCTCAGTGGGTCAGTCTGTTTGAGGGACTCATGGTTTGAGGATGAGTAGGTGGTAACCGGAGGCGGTGGGGCCTGGCGGGAGGGAGCAGGTCACGGGGCGTGCGCCTGGGGACTGCAGTACCCCTGTGCTGCGTGCTCTCTGCCTGCCGGCTGCCCCTCCACCATGGTCTTCTGCGTGATGCCGGGCCTCACCTCCAGCCCAGAGCGATGGAGTCGGCCGACCACAGACTGAACCTCTAAAACCATGAGCAGAGTACGTTCTCCTCCTGGACAAGGTCCTTGTCAGGTCTTTAGGTCACGGAGATGAAAGGCCAGCACAAATCCGAACAAGAACTCGGTTGGTAAAGGCTGGAGGTCTCCCTGCACCTGAGGACCAAGCACAGCCCAGAAAGTGCTGGAAGGAAGAGGTAAAGCAATTTTTTCTTATGAAAAAGCCGCATGCGTACAAAGTTACGTGTGCACACGGAGGGACGCATCTCGGCAGTGAGCCCTCTGGCCCAGCAGACCCCTGGATGGTCCTCCCAGGGGGGACGGGTCTCGGCAGTGAGCCCTCTGGCCCAGCAGACCCCTGGATGGTCCTCCCAGGGGGGACGGGTCTCGGCAGTGAGCCCTCTGGCCCAGCCCACCCCCGATGGTCCTCCCAGGGGAGCCACACCTGAGCAGAACTCACCCACTGACCGACCCTCATCCGCATGTCTCTGACAGCCCTGCTCCGTGACCCCACCTTCTCCACCTGTGGTCCCTGGTCACTCTGTCCCCGCAGCGCACAGTGTTCTGCTAGGGCCGAAGGCGCAGTGAGGCCCGTGGTGCGTCTTGGTGGGGCCGGGCCGGGGTGAGCCGCAGGAGCTGCGGAGTGGGTCAGAGGCGTATCCGTTCCATGATTTAGATGTCCATCACCCTCCTGCACTCCCTTTAGACCTAATGTGCAGGGGACTGTTGGTCACCTCCGCAGCGACGCCGTGGTGAGAGCTCGCTCGTCCTCTGCTTCTGAAATCTCTCCTGGGCCTGCAGCGGCCCACCCTTCAGGAGCTGCCCTCCCGGGAGGCAGGTCTTTCCTTGGTGACTTCAAGGTGCTTCGGTGGACAAAGCCAAGAGCCCCTGCCCTGCACGGCCCACGTCCTCTGTCTGTCCACCCTGTGGCCTTGGGCAGCATCTCTGAGGCGTTCTGGGGTGGTCTGCTGGGGAGATCTCTCCTCCCTGAGGAAGACAGGACTCGTCCTTCTGCTCCATGTCGCTGAGTCCTAGAACGGGCCTCATCTCACCCCAGAACCAAGCCCAGCAGGCTTCACAGGAGGGGGTACACCTTGTCCCCGCTGACGTGAACGGACACGGGCTCATGGCCTGCATTTCTGGGTTGAGGTCTCTTTCATCTTGGTAGCTGGAGTCTCATGATAAGGAGATAAGGCAGAGCCATTCCCCTCCGGCCGTCTTCTGGAACCTTCTGGTGTGTTTGCTTCTTATTTTTCTCTGCACTTTGGTGGCACCGTGACCACTTCTGAAGGCTGGTGGTGGTGTTCTTGAGGTAGCTGCCCCTGTTAATGGACGTTTCAGGCTGACCGGGCTAACTGAACTCTGGTGTCCAACAGCAGGAACCCGGGGCCTGCTAGGTGAATCTCTGTGGTCATTTCTGGAGCTGTGAATGGACATTTCTCCTAACAGGTGCCGTTTGAACACAGGAAAGCTCTTTTGTACACAGCTTCATCCTAGTGATGTCACGGAGCTCTTCTGTCCAGTGACTGTCCCGAGTCCTGGAGGTGTCTCCAGTGTGGGGTTCCGTTCCCGGGCTGATGGGTATGCCTGGGGGACCTGAGACGTACCTTGCTAGTGAGTCCCCAGCTGCTGTTCTTGACAGTCTATGGAGTCTCCTGGAGTCTGACACCGTCACACAGCATGCCTAGAACTAGGGACACTTGCCCACTCTCCCGGGGCCGAGCCCTGTCCCTGCTACCCTGTACAGAATACCTCTAGGGCATTAAGAACATGCCACCTCCTCATTCTGACCTCAGCTCGGTGCTGGCGTCCGCGGAGCTGTCTCCTGTGGCCTTTCCCAGGACGGAAGCCCCCGTGTGCCTGGGTCTGGAGAGCTGGTCAACAGAGGCTGAATCTATAAAAAGCTTTGGGTTTTAGCATCTGTGGTTTTCTTCCTTAGAATTATTAACAAGGAATGTGAAACTAAGGGGTTCACAGAGGTGACCCGTCCACAGCGTTGTTAGCCTGGTCCGGCCGCGTCCAGCGCTGCTGGTGAGCGAGGTGCTCTGGGCACCTTTAATCAGACTTAAGTAAATCATGCTTCAGCCTTTTGCTTTGGTGCTGGAATTGAGACCAAAATAATTCAGGCTCATCCTCGCCCTTCATAAAAGTACYCCAAGCCGTCAGCTGCAGCCTCAGAGGACGGGCAGTGTGGTCACCCTCGGCYGCCTCTGGAAGGGCCCCGAGTGTCACCAGTTGGGCTGCGTGGCCTCAAGCTGTGCATGAACAGGCAGAGACGCAGTTGATAAAAACAAGGTGATTTAATAAATAAATGCGGCCCCTCCCGGGCGTCCCGGAGCCCCGCAGGGGGAGGACGGCAGAAGCAGCCTCCAGGTCTCCCCAGAGGACAGTCCACGCCTGCAGCTGTGCCRCCCTGGCAGCCTCCCTCTGAAGTCCACGCTGAGCCAGGGCCACGGCTCCGAACACAGAGGGCACGGGGACGCCCCTCGGGTGGGGCTCACACGTCCTCTGGGTGCGCCCCGGCTTTCCTGGCTGGGGAGCAGCACCTCTCGCCAAGCTTGGCGAGCTCCGACAGAAGGAAGACGGACGAGGCCAGGCCCGTCAGGAACAGCAGGTCTGCAGGGAGGCGGCGGAGGGGTCAGGGCCGCGCYGAGGTCACCTCCCACCCGAGCAGGTCCCTGGGCTCCCCGTGGATTTGGCGGGCAGACCCTCTTCCACCCGGGGAGGCCTTTGCTAGAAACCGCGTCGGGGGCTCCTTCTCTTCTGCCTGTCCCCATCCCTGCACGGTGCCCGCCGGTGACCCCCATGGATGCTGGTTGAGGACAGGCACCGTCCTCCCCTGCCGAGGCCTTAAGCGCAGCCCTGTGCAGCCTCAGACCTCACCGATCATCGCAGGTCCCTCCTGAGCAGGGACAAGCCACAGGCCGCCCTGTGCTCAGCCCTGGGGACCAGCCCTCTGCTCCTCGGGGGGACGGGCCAGGGCCAGACTGAACCAGGAGGGAGAGGGGCGAGCCCTCTGGACACTGCTGCCCTTCAGGTGACCCCCGCACAACCCTTCCTTGCTGGGGTTAGGGACTGTTCCCTCCCCTGCCAGCCCGGCTGGGGACATGGGAGTCCTGGGTCCCCTACCAGGGGTCTCGGGACTCCATGTCACTAAATCAGGTCTGTTTTAGCAAGAACTGTAGGGTGGCCCGGCTTCTGGTCTCTAGAAATGTCAAAGTCACAGAAGGCTTGGGGTCCAGGCCACACTCCCCAGCTGAGGGGACATCGAGGGCTGAGCTTACAGTCCCACCCGCTGTAGCCGGGGCCTCGTGTGGCTGGTCCTCCTGCCCTAAGGCCGGATGTGGACCCCTCCCAGGCCCTACTCCTGGCGAAGGGGCCTCTTCCTGAGCCTCCTGTGTCCTCTGCGTCCCCTTCATGCCTCCCTCCTGCCCGCCTGCCGCGGTGTGTGGGGCTTCGGCATCTCGGGGCGCACCACCCACAAGCCCTCGGGCCCTTGCCTGGCGGGGCGGGGGCAGCACCTCCAGCCTGTTAGTGACCTCTCCTCCAGCCCCACACTCACCCAGCGCTCCCAGGTTCTCCGTCTGGAAGATCCTCTGCAGGGGCGGGACGTAGATCACGGCCAGCTGCCCCAGGAGGGACCCGAGGACCGAGTAGAGGAACATGCGGTTCCTGAGGAAGCCGATCTCGAGGATCAGCTTGGTCTGCGGGGAGGAGGCTGCGCGTGGGACCTCACCGTAGGGCAGCGCTGCCCGGCGCCACCTGCTCTGAGCCGCCCAAGGCCTGGACAGACCGGGGCTCAGAGGTGACCCCGCAGGGAGGAGGCTGGCGGCAGCTCTGCTGAGTCCTTTGCCTCCCAGGAGGACGCAGGGCGTAGCCACCGTCATACCTGGGAGCGGCAGGTCAGGGCGTTGAAGAGGTCGAAAAACACGAAGCACGTGAAGGTCATGGTGGTGGTGCGCGGGGTGCTGGCCCCGTCGTCCGGGATCTGGAACGCGCACAGGCAGGGCCGGTGGGGCAGCGGGTCCTCAGGTGCACCATCCTCACCCGGGAGCCCAGGACAGAGCCTGTGCCACAGACCAGGCCCTGGCCAGCCACCGCCTCCGGCCCCGAGCTCCATGGCGGGAGCTGCAGATGCATCTCCTGACCACAGCTGAGTGTGGCCACTGAGGACCTGGCTCTGGGGGTGCCGTGAGCCCTCTAGGGGGCAGTGCTGCCTGTGGAGGGTGGCCCACCTGCAGGGTGGCCATTCCAGGAGGTAGACAAGCTAGCTACCCGCGAAAAGCCGTCGCCTCCAAGGAAG